GAGCAGTGCTGATGGGGATCTGAGCAGGGCTGATGGGATCTGAGCAGGGCTGATGGGATCTGAGCAACGCTGATGGGATCTGAGCAGTGCTGATGGGACCTAAGCAGGGCTGATGGGATCTGAGCAGGGCTGATGGGATCTGAGCAGGGCTGATGGGATCTGAGCAGGGCTGATGGGATCTAAGCAGCGCTGATGGGATCTGAGCAGTGCTGATGGGACCTAAGCAGGGCTGATGGGATCTGAGCAGGGCTGATGGGATCTGAGCAGGGCTGAGGGGATCTAAGCAGGGCTGATGGGATCTGAGCAGTGCTGATGGGATCTGAGCAGCGCTGATGGGATCTGAGCAGTGCTGATGGGATCTGAGCAGCGCTGATGGGGATCTGAGCAGTGCTGATGGGATCTGAGCAGTGCTGAGGGGATCTGAGCAGTGCTGAGGGGATCTGAGCGGGGCTGAGGGGATCTGAGCAGTGCTGATGGGATCTGAGCAGTGCTGATGGGATCTGAGCAGTGCTGAAGGGATCTGAGCGGGGCTGAGGGGATCTGAGCAGTGCTGAGGGGATCTGAAGGGAGGCACTGGGCTCTGTTTGGTGCTGCCCAATGCCAGGACATGGGGCAGCAGGCACAGACTGGAACACAGAAAGTTCCATCTGAACCTGAGGAACACCTTCTTGCCTTTGAGAGTGACAGAGCCCTGGCACAGAGCACAGGGAGGCGCTGGACTCTCCTAATCTGGAGATGTTCAGAACCCACTTGGATGCTTTCCTGTGCAATTTACTTCAGCAGGAGGTGGACTGGGGGATCTCCAGAGGTCACAGAATCATAGAATCATAGAATGGCCTGGGTTGCAAAGGAGCACAATGCTCATCCAGCTCCAACCCCTGCTGTGTGCAGGTCACCAACCAGCAGCCCAGGCTGCCCAGAGCCACATCCAGCCTGGCCTTGAATGCCTGCAGGGATGGGGCATCCACAGCCTCCTTGGGCAACCTGTGCCAGTGCCTCACCACCCTCTTGTGAAAAACTTCCTCCTCATATCCAACCCAAACCTCCCCTGTCTCACTTTAAAACCATTCCCCTTGTCCCATCACCACCCACCCTCACAAACAGCCATTCCCCTCCTGTTTATCCACTCCCTTCAAGCACTGAAGGCCACCATGAGGTCTCCCTGCAGCCTTCTCTTCTCCAAGCTCAACAAGCCCAGTTCTCTCAACCTTTCCTCATAGGAGAGCTGCTGCAGCCCTCTGCTCATCCCTTCCAACCCCTACAGCTCTGTGCCATCAACACGACTCAGTTACAGCTCCAGACAGCAGTGCCATCCCCTTCCCTTCTCCTTCACTGCTCTCAGGCTCCTCACAAATGACCCAATGTCTCGGGCAGAAAGCTCTCAGCACAGCAGTGCTGCCTGAAATCCAAACACTACAGGGAAATTGTAGTTTTTAAAACATCCCAATTCTTTCTATTTCAAATGATAACACAAACTGTATCATCCTGCTGCAGCACACACCTGTGACTACCATCACTGTGTGGGTCTGTACAGTACGTGGGTCTGTGAATATGTTGTGTGTGAGCCGAACTGTTACAGGAGAGGCTGTTTAAACACCAAGAGGAGGGATTTCTTCTTTAAATCAGAGTGAGAAATCCCCAGTAAGCCCCCAAAGGATAACATGGTTAGAGCTGTACAGAGCCCATATTCCATGAGAAGAGCTTCAAGGAGCGGAAAGCCATCACACAAAATCCTGCATAGGAAAACCTTTGGAAGGGCACACATGTATGGACATCTGAAATTGGTCTCACAGCACCAAATTTGCCTTTTCTGATATACATGCAGTGATTTGTCTGTGTATAGCTGTTCTTACTGAGCCAACCAGCCAACCAGAAAGCAAAAGAACAGATCTGGAAGCAGCTCCAAAAAAACAAAAACCAAGAACCCTATGGGAAGGAACCCATGGCTGGAGATGAAACCACAGTGATTAAAATCAAAACAAGCAGAGGAAATTGAGAAATAAGGCATGTGCTGGGGGAGATCATGGAAACACACAGCTGGAGTGAAGGAGAAACAGGGGAGAGGCTGCTGGAAGGCAGCATGCTGGCACATGGGGTCAGACATCAGTAGGGCCGGAGGTTTGCCACTGCAAGTAATGCCACAGTCAGCTCATGGACACACAACAAATCAGCTAAGACTGGATTTATTCAAAAATTCCAGAAGTCAGACTGCGTAAATTCCATCCAAATATCTTGATATTAAACAGCACAAACGTGGCCACTCACAGCCGTGCTCCAGGCGCTGCATGGTGAGGCTGGCTGTGATGAGCAGAGCTCTGCAGGGCTGCGGTGCTGAGCAGGAGCTCACTGCCATACCTGCTCTAAAGCCTTGCTCTCCCAGAGCACAGGCACTGCAGCACAGGCCCAGCCCCAGTCTGGCCATGACAAACCAGCAGCCCTCACAGGAAGGCTCCTCGCATCTGAGGGATGGAAGGCAGTGATGCAGCACCAGATCGGCCGTGCTGGAGTACTTCTACCCATTCTGTGCTCTTTATTTTAAGGCCAAGTCACAGAAATTAAAAAAAAATTAAAAAAAAAAAGGCACAAAAAAAGCTGCTGTGGACTGGAAGGATTCTTTAGGAAAAACTGAGGTCTACACGAAGAGGTTGGCAAAGCAATGGCAGCAGAGAAAGAACATGAAATTATTTCAAGCATGCAAACACCCAGGAGAAAGCACCTACTGAGCTGGTACAAAAGGACACAGCTACGTGTGGGATGATACAGGAGGCAAGAAAGCCCTTCCTTAGAGCTAACACTTCCCTGTTCAGCTGTACTCCTGCGAGCCTACGCTGCCAGTTATCGGGTGACACAGTGGGGCCTTCCTGAACTGTGGGCTCCCTGCTGCTCCCTGGCACTGGGTGCACTCACACACACAGCACTTACTGGGGTGCTGCACCAACCCACAGACAGTTCAGCCACGGTGGCTGCGACAGCTGCTCACAAACTCCATGCAAAGCAGGCTGAAAGTTTGGGGCACTGCTCACAGAATGGAAAATGTGTGGCCAACAGAACATTTGGCTCTGTGCGTTACGTCCATCGCTCACAGCTCAGGTACAGCCACAGCCTCCAGATGGATGCGGCTCTGGGCAGCCTGGGCTGCTGGTTGGTGACCCTGCACGCAGCAGGGGATTGGAACTGGATGAGCATTGTGCTCCTTTGCAACCCAGGCCGTTCTGTGATTCTATGATATCTGCTTCCTTCTGGTCCCTGGTGCACTGAGAAGGAAGTCCGGCCATGGGACAAACCTACTTCCTCCCAGTAAAGGCCAGCACTGTTCCTTGGCAATGAATTTGCTTGAGGAAACTGCCAAAGCATTAAAATCTCTGCACAAATTCAAAACAAATAGCTGAAGGCTGTCTCAGTCCTTACCTTTAAGGGAATTCAGTGAGAACATCTCCATCACAGCGGAAAGCGTTGATTCCTAGGAGAGCAAGAGCAGCAGAAAGAAACACAGAGTTAGAATTCACGTTCCCTTTGAGAAGTTTAAAGCCTTCAGCACCCATGAAACTGGATGCCAAACAGAGCTGAGAGCCCTCAGCAAGCTCCACCTTGCTGCTCCTCACCTGCCTGCTCCACTGAACCGTGCCTGCTCCCCCTCTGCCCCAGTGCTGTGCCCCCAGAGGAGGCACTCTGCACTTTGGGCTCTGCTCTCCATCATGTCTGCACCAACCTCAGTCAGAACGCCACAGGGAGGGAGAGCACCACCATGATTCCTCCCTTACAGCAGAGCCAGCCAAGAATGACACGCATCCTTTTGTTAATTGCTGAAATTATGTTCCACTTTCTATTTTGCTTTCTTATTCAAATTACTTAAGTAAGGCACAACGAAGCCAGCCGACTTGGTTTAAGAGTTCTTCATCCGAATGCAGGGATGCCTTCAGCATCGGGCCTCCCAGCCACCAGCAACCTTTCCGAGCAGAGCTGCCACCCCAACCCACACTGAGAGCCATTCCTGCATACATACCACCAACACCCCGAGCTGTTACTCTTTCCAACGATCTGCTTTTGCTTTCGGTGCAGCTAATGACAAAATTACTGTTTACTTCAGCCTGGGATGATGCCGCGTTCAGAGGCGGCTCTGCGGACAGCACAGCTGCACTCCCTGCAGGCACACGAAGCACGGTGCCTTCACCTCTGCACTGCCTGCTTTCAAGGACTGAGTGCAACCCGCCTGTTGGGTTGTTTAATGAGGCCAAGAGCTGAATGGAATCCAGACTCATCCCAGCACAGCAGCACAAGTCTTGAAGCTGCTGGAGGAACAGCACAAGTGTGATGTGCAGAGCTGCACAACGTTCCCGGATCGAAGCGACGGAGGAACCTCAGTGCCTCCCACAGCTCCACGCATGAGCTGGGTGGACGGCAGCCCAAGGAGGCTGGAGTTGGTCAGCAGAGCAGGGCTCACCTACAGAGCACTAGTGGTGGGGAAAGGCAGCAAAAAATGCCCCACCAACACAGGGGGG